AGTACGTGGACCAGGTGAACTGATAAACCTTACACAACAACAGGAGTCTGTGGACCAGGTGAGCTGATAAGCCTTACACAACAATAGGAGTCCCTGGACCAGGTGAGCTGATAAACACTAAACAACAACAGGAGTCCCTGGACCAGGTGAGCTGATAAACACTACACAACAACAGGAGTCCCTGGACCAGGTGAGCTGATAAACACTACAACAGGAGTCCCTGGACCAGGTGAGCTGATAAACACTACACAACAATAGGAGTCCCTGGACCAGGTGAGCTGATAAACACTACAACAGGACCTTTGTCCCTTCCACCACAGAGTTTTTGATGGTAACCTTACACAACAACATTATTGTCACTTCTGCTGTCCAGGTAAGATGATAAACAACTGAAACAAATACAAAGTATGCTATATTATACTATTAACCAGGTGAGCTCATAAACAACTAACAACAATAGAATTCATGTGGACTGCTTTTATAACTGATAAACCTTACACAACAACAGGAGCTGTGGAACTTGAGGTGAGCTGATAAGCCTTACACAACAGACTATAGGTAGGCTGATAATTTTCACTCTCACTACAGGAGTCTGGACCAGGTGATGCTTTAAAAAACACTGTCTTAGAGTTGTTTCAGGTGAGGGGGCTGATAAACACTTTTAACAACAGGAGTCCCTGGACCAGGTGAGAGGATGCCTCAAATATGTTTTATAATAAATGGCTGTCTCAGATGGACCAGGTGAACACTGCTGATAAACACTAAAGGACTGTCCGTCCCTAACCTAAAGGAGTGTCTTAGACTTATCTAACACTTGAGGACCCTCTTAGACTTGTCTTACACTAAAGGACTGTCTAAGTCTTGTCTTAGACTACAGTACTGTCTCAGACTTATCTAACACTACAGGAGTGTCTAAGTCTTGTCTTAGACTACAGTACTGTCTCAGACTTATCTAACACTACAGGAGTGTCTAAGTCTTGTCTTAGACTACAGTACTGTCTTTGAACACTACAGGTGCCTAAGTCTTGTCTTAGACTACAGTACTGTCACTTCTGCTGTCCAGGCCTAAAGATGACATAGGCTTCAACTGAAATCAAATACAAAGTATGCTATATTATACTATTAACCAGCAGTAGATCATCAGACAACTAATAACAATGTCATACGCATACTACAGGAGTGTCTAAGTCTTGTATTAGACTTGAATACTGTCTTAGACTTGTCTAACACTAGAGGACTCTCTAAGACTTGTCTAACACTAAAGGACTAAGACTTGTCTAACACTAGAGGACTCTCTAAGACTTGTCTACCACTAGACGGCTATCTCAGACTTATCTAACACTAGAGGACTCTCTCAGACTTGTCTACCACTAGAGGATTTTCTCAGACTTGTCTAACACTGGAATACTGTCTTAGACTTATCTAACACTTGAAGACTGTCTAAGACTAGTCTAACACTTGAGGACTGTCTAAGACTTATCTAACACTAAAAGATGGTCTAAGACTTGCCTAACACTAGAATACCGTCTCAGACTTGAAGTCTTGTACTTGAGAAAACCCCAGTAAACAGTCTGATCCTTTCTGTTTCCTTACCTTGGATATTTCTTCTGGAGTGTATGGTTCTACCAGCTCCTGTAGTTGCTTGTAGGCCTGGACTCCTTGTTCAGTGTCACCCCACACACCATAGTGACTTGTCACACCAACTGCACCACCAAGAAGGCCAAGCTTTGCTAAAGAAGTGCCACTAAAACAAAAATTAATTCATCAGTATATGCAGTGCCACTAAAACACAAATTAATTTCTCAGTACATGCAGTACCACTAAAACACAAATTAATTCATCAGTATATGCAGTGCCACTAAAACACAAATTAATTTCTCAGTATATGCAGTGCCACTAAAACAAAAATTAATTCATCAGTATATGTAAGTACATGTACACTGATTTTGACTGCAACCTAGATTGCTCTTACAATAAATGTTTTTTCCATTCATTTTCAGTGAAGTGAATAATTCAACTAAATGTTCTTACGGAACACAGGTAGGCCTATTAAGACTATTTACCGTAAATACTTGCCAAGTACTAACCACTATTTATACTGCTTCTATTTGACTCTTTCAGTTTGGTATTTAACGAAATATCATGCGTTGTGGTATTTAATGCCTTGGGTTGCATTGAGATTTAGGAAATTTCAAGAAAAACAGTGAGTGATGTAAATGGAAGAAGTCAGTATGACTTGTGTATTATGTTGAATATGGTCTCCGTCATTCACCAGGTGGAGCAGGCTTGTTTGACTCTGTAAGTAGAGCTCTGGGGTTTTTTTTTTGTTTTTTTTTTCTCTATATCGTTAATTAATAAGATATACCATGCTGCTTTCATAAATTATATGATTGACATCTAACCTTTAGATTTTAAAGACTAAATCAAAATATAAAAGCTTTTGATTTCATTTAAATTTACTGGTTTCTTGAGTTTCTTCAAATCCCGTACGTCTTTAAATAGCCCTAACTAATCTATTGTACCCATGATGATGTTATCCACAGGAAGAATGACGAAGTTTGTATACGCTTACATTGTCATTCTTGCTAGGTTACGGCTTGGCTGAATTTCCCCATATATTTTATACAAATTTGAATAAATTGTATATTTTCCTCAAGTCGGGCATATATGACTTAAATGTATTGGAACCACGGTGTTATCATTCTGATGAAATGCTCTGTCTATTCCATTCATGCGTCGTTAGTGATTTTAACGATAAAAAAAAACGACAGGTTTTGTCAGAAAATTCACTATATGTGAGATGACTGTAGAGTACTGTGTCCTTAGTGGAATCGATCAATATCTGTAAATCGTTAAAGTTGCCTCAGTTTACTTACTATTTCACAAGCATTGCCATCGTACCGCAGTAAGCTCTATCACCGAAAGTCAAACAGTTGAACTTCCGTTGAAGGGAAACAACTCTCAATAACTTATCCATTTGGTGGTAGACGGATTATGCCCGTACCAGGAATATAAGAAATAATTAATAACTCGAGCAAAAAAAAAAAAAAATCTTATTAGTTGCAAATTTTCTACATAATATACTTAAATATTTTAAAATTCTGACTCTTTGAATGAATTAATTTAGCTATCAAGGTTTTTTAATCGATGTTTTGTTATTTTTTAAGGGGTAAAAAACTTGTACGCCACACTCAACAGTGAAACTTTCCGATTGTTTTGCAAATTACAGCTATTACAGGGTTGAATTTAAGATTTTTTGAAATTCCAAACAAATAATTATAGCTATCTGATTGTAAACACACCAGTTTACTCAACGAAGCTTACTTCACATCTAATTGTCACCAGAGACGTATATATCACATGTGATATATACGTCTCTGTTGCCGCGAACTTATGATTAAGTGGTGTGAATGATGTACGAGCATGCATGCGAGAGTGAATGCTGATATTTATTGTGGTATTCGTACTCATGCCGTTGTCCAGGTAGGTGATCTATTTTAGCCACGTCACCTGTACAACCGATCCGTGTACCTATGTGTGACTGGCGAGTCGTCCTTTGTGGGTCGAATGTGTGTGACGAGTGGACTTATATTGTGTTTTGTAATGGGTTTTAGAGTGTGTAAGTCAAGTGGCCATTGGTATGAAAGTTGACTTCGTGAGTAGTGTTCTTTTGTGTTAGCAGACAGAGCTTGGACTCCCAAGAGTGCAGACGTGTTTACGACACTCTGTTTTTATTGGCTTTGTCTCTTCCCCGTGAACGTATATACCTGTTTGTACTTTATCTGCAGGTACTTCTGATCATTTTAAACATGCAGAATACAACTTTTTAATTATATCTGTATCCACGTTTCCTAGTCGTATTTGAAGTTGAAGTGAACCGAGTTCCACTCCGCGTGCCCTTAATCTAAAGGTGACAATGTTATTTGTCACATTGGCGCCCAACGTGGGGCCTTGTTAGTGTCGCTTAGTTCATTTTATATTCCATGGGCATGGCCATACGACTTTTTCTTGAACCGTTTCTCTATGTCTACTTTTTCTCCACCTCCCACCGTTGGTACCCCATACTATCGCTTTGGCCCCGGAAGTTGTTCTGGACATGTTTGAAAAACAAAATTAACTCATTTCGTGTTTAATTGATGATTTTCAGGATGAAATAAGAACTGTTTTTGATAATGTCCTTGAAACATATACTTATCTTCTAAGTGAATTAGTCAACACTAGGAAAGAAGTGCAGTTTCTCAATGAACAAACCTTCAATTTGAAGGACAATCTGAACAAGATTCAAAGTGAATTGAGACCCCGTACGCGTGTTTCTATGTCTGACAGATGTTGTCAAACTGATAGTCATACTGACATATGTCTAGCCTCGGATATACTAGTACACACCCTACCTGCTCACGAAACAAGTTCCAATCGTGGAAAACGGGTCATGTTCGTTTAACACATGTGTCCCCTTGGCTAGCAGCACTCAAGTAGACAAACCTGCTGCTCCTGTTAGTACCCAAACATGTGTTGATTTCAGTACTACTCCGTCAGATCGTGCTTGTCCTAAAAGGCCGACTTGTCACACACAGGTACACGGTTGTACAGGTTGTAGAGATGACCTAGTTCTTGTTCGCAGGTATTATCAAAGACTAAAATATCATCCATGTACACTAGACAAAGCTTCCAAGTTAAGCCTGTAAGGACTTGCTCCATCAAATGTTCGAATGTGGCAGGTGCGTTGCAAAGACCAATGGGCATAACTTTAAATTGCCAAAATCCACCATAACCTGTTACAAAGGCTGTTTTCTGTCGATCCTTCTCTGCAACGTCCACCTGCCAATAGCCACTTTTGAGATCTAGAGTGGAGAACCAAGTGGCACCAGCAAGAGTGTCCATAGTATCCTCGATGCGGGGCAATGGATGACTGTCCTTAACTGTGATGTCATTCAGTTCACGGTAGTCAATACAAAACCGTGTTGAACCATCTTTCTTTTTCACTAAAACAATGGGTGATGCCCACTGACCATTTGATTTCTCAATCACACCCATTTATGACATTTCCTTTACTTTCCTCTCCGCTTCTTTTTGTTTTGAAAATGGAATTCTGCGGATCCCTGGTGTATTGGTTTTGCATCACCTGTGTCGATTGCATGGGTAACTACATTTGTATTGCCGATATCTGATTGGCTGTTAGAAAATGTGTCACTGTACCGTATAAGGATATCTGCAACCTGTTGTTGCTGATATTCCGTCAGGTTTTCCTTCGAGCGCTCAAAAAGGTTAATAAGGTGCTCAGGTACAGCATCAACAGTCTCAAACACAGGATTGTTTACATCCTCACCCTCAAACTGCGAGACAGCACATACTGGTTCACAGAATTCAGCAACAGTGCCCTAAAACCAACAGCAAAGTCTGCCATCAGAACATCTCTGGTCCACACGGGTCGTTGTCATGGAAACTGTAGTAGAAATGATGTGCCGTCTCCATCCTTGGCCATCTCCAGTAGCTTGGCTTTAAGTCACTGTTTATTTTGATAAGTCCTACGTAACCTCTGTGAACATTTCTTCCTTCTTGCTCGTTCAGCATGTTGCCTAGTGATAAATTCCAGTAAAAGAGTCAGTCCAACCTGACACAAAATCCCTCTTGTCCACTCATGTTTTAATGAAATCCATGACGATTCTTCTTCTGTTTCCGAATATTGAACCTTGCAGTAATATATGTTATATCGGTTTGAAAAAGCAATCCTTGTTACACAGTCTGCTTTCTTTGGTGTTCCAGTATTAGGACATTTCTTGTCAGGATTCGGAAAGTATTTGTCCTTTTGTGGACGACCTTGATGAATCTTCGCAACTATGGCAGCATCCTTATCTTCCTTCTCTTGTTCATTAAACAATTTGTTTTTGTAGAGGACGTTCCGTTTCTTGCCATCCATATTTTTGGTATCATGAAACTGTCGTCTGAGCTTCTCTGGAACGATTTTTTGGGAAAAGCCATACGTTCGATACATCTCTGTTCTTATACTGGACATAATAATATAGAACGTCGTGACTACGCTTTGCTGACAAAATGTTGGAAATAATCCTCTTTTCCTTGCGACGTGCTATATCCTGACTTTTCTGAATATCTTCCTGACTTTGAGTCTCTGGTGTATCTTGACGATGACAAGTATTGTTCATTTCTGCTTGAGGTGTACTGTCTGTTCGAGTCCTCTCTTGTAACCCTAATGGTTGTGTACCCTGTGGTATATTGTTATCCTCTACTTCATCTTATACGTTACTACCATTTCTTCAGCATCAGGTTCTGCTTCTTCTATATCATCTTCATGCAATTCATGTGGATGAATGGGTCTCTTTTCAGGGTCATAACAAGGCTTTAATCTGTTAGCATGGATTAGTGACCGTACATCTTTGTTGTCGCTACATCTTCTGAGCTTGAATGTATCCTTTGGTCCTTTAGGGGTAATATTGTAAGGTCCAACCCATTTCCTATGTAACTTGGGAGCTGTACCAACAGGAACCTGAGCACAGTATAACCAAACTTTGTCTCTAACTACAAATTCAGTGGGTTTTGCATGTTTGTCACATTGTCTCTTGTACTTTTCCTGTGCTATTTTCATATTGTCCTTTGCTTATTTCCTTGTTAGGTCTAGATTCTCCAGGTGTTGTGAGAGTTGAATTCGGAAATTTTGTGGTAGGGTTGGTTTTGGAATAAGACTTGAATCGATTGGCATTCTCATCTCTTGTCCATATAGTATATAGTACGGAGAATGTAACATTGACTGAGTCACTGGTGTCATGCGATAGGACATCATTATTGCTGGTAACACATCAAGCCATGTGTTCTGCTTCTCATTGCAACGTATTCTCAATTGTTGTAAAATAACAAAGTTCATTCTCTCGCAGGCCGAGTTTGTGCGTAATTTGAGCTCGAAAAGACTCTTTGTTTGAAACATTTCCGATAGAGCTTGAATGAGTGATGACATAAAATTTCTGCCGCGATCCGAAACTAAGGTTCGTGGTGCACCATAACGAGTGAAAATTTCTCTAAACAAAACATGGGCAATTTCATTTGCAGATTGTGTTTTCAGTGAGAATGCCTCACACCACTTAGAAGCGCTGTCTACAACGAGCAGGGTGTATTTGTAGCCTTCTGATGTAATCGGTAGGCCTCCTAGTATGTCGATATGACACCTACTGAATACTTCTTCTACCGGTAAAGGGTTGAGAGGTGTAGGGCGTCCAGCCAAGTGACGTTTGGTTTGCTGACATGCTTCCCAACTTTGAACATAGTCTTTAATTTCTTAGTACATGCGAGGCCAATAGTATTTGCTTCTGATAGCGTCATAGGTACGCTGTTGTCCCTGATGACTTTACTATCATGATAGGCTACGAGAGCCTCGTGTTGAAGGCATTGGGGTACAGCAACTTGGAAAACCAACCTATCTGCTGCTTCTCTATTCTCATATCTTCCTTGGAAAATGTGGAATAGAACTCAATCCCTAAGTTCATAATTTTAAGTTTCAGCTACAACTTGCCTTGCAGTAATATGGTTTTCTGGCACCAGTCCATCCTTCTTGTAGCTAAAATGCTGTCAAAATCTGGACATTGCTGTTGTAACTGGGAAAGTTCAGAATTAGTGTGAAATTCTTCATGGAAGTCTTTGAGTTGGCTGTCATCGATATCATCCTCAGGCTCATCTTCCAAATTTTGCTGAGTGTCAATGTTGCATACACTAGCAGTTTTTTGCGTATCCGCATGATACACGAAGGTTGCCATAGCATATTCTTTTTGGCTCAACTGTTGAGCTTGACTTGATGTAGATGCTATGTTAACTTCATAGCCTGGTACATCTGGGTCTTGTATCTGCTCTGGTCCTTGGTCCTTTGAACATTGGTCCTGTATATACTCCCTCCTTGAAAGTGCAACCACATTTAGATTCTTCTGTCCTGTCTTATGTTTAACGTCAAAATTATACCCTTGGAGTTGTGGTGCCCAGCGTGCTACCTTACTATTTAATTTTTTATTACTTTGTATCCATTTTACGGTCGAATCGTCTGTATACACAGTAAATTTTTGATGATTCCAAATATGGCCGAAATGTATTGATGGCTTCTACGAATGCTAATCCTTCTTTTTTGTATTTATGTAGATATATAAACAATAACAGCTTCTTTTGTTACTCAAACATAGTTTTACATTTTCTATATGAATACTTTAATACTAAGGGATGTTATCCAGAATTTTATCTTTAAGGGGATGCAAACCGAAAATAAGATTGAAGGTGATTTAATCCAGAAACATGTTTTAAGGGGATGTAATCCAGAAAATATTTTCAAGGGAATTAAATAAAAATCATACTTTAAGGTGGACACAAATCAGAAAGATTTTCCTACTGGAAAGAAATCAAGACATGATCAATAAAAACCAAAACTTTAACTTTAATGGCACACTCAAATATTTGTATGTGGATACTGTAAAAGCATGATTGGCTGTGTAAGCTAGGGTCAAAAGGTCATGAGTATGATGCCGTTGTTGTATGTACAATTCTGTGAATTAAAAAGAGCACACGGCAGTAAGATTTATATAAAAACTTTAAAAATTCTCCTGAAAATGGTCAAGCATTCTTAAATTTGTCTACAAAATTTGATTCATTCTGAAAAGTATTCAAGGATAAAAAGAAATATAATATTTAGTTTTTTTCAGAAGTTGGATGTAATTATTTCAACTTTATTTTTTCAATAATTTTAGTTGTACACCCTTAAAATGATTTTTGAAGATAGCTAAATACAAAATCTTGCTGTTAGCTTTTAGGAAAGAATTTTTTTTCTATAAAAACAATATATAGACAATTACACTGACCAATCAGTGATCACTTGACTTAATTACCATACATACATTTACATATAAACTGAAACATCATGTACATAAAACCTAAGTATGTGTGAACCTGTCTGTGTTACAGGTAGATATGATTTTGTACACCTGTCTGTGTTACAGGTAGATATGATTTTGTACACCTGTCTGTGTTACAGGTAGATAATATTTGGTACACCTGTCTCTGTTACAGGTAGATATGATTTTGTACACCTGTCTGTGTTACAGGTAGATATCATTTTGTACACCTGTCTGTGTTACAGGTAGATATCATTTTGTACACCTGTCTCTGTTACAGGTAGATAATATTTTGTACACCTGTCTGTGTTACAGGTAGATAATATTTTGTACACCTGACTGTTACAGGTAGATATGACTTTGTACACTTGTCACTGTTACAGGTTGATAATATTTGGTACACCTGTCTCTGTTACAGGTAGATATGATCTGGCACACCTGTCTCTGTTACAGGTAGATATCATTTTGTACACCTGTCTGTGTTACAGGTAGATAATATTTTGTACACCTGACTGTTACAGGTAGATATGACTTTGTACACTTGTCACTGTTACAGGTAGATATTATTTGGTACACCTGTCTCTGTTAACAGGTAGATAATATTTTGTACACCTGTCTCTGTTACAGGTAGATAATATTTTGTACACCTGTCTGTGTTACAGGTAGAATATATTTGGTACACCTGTCTCTGTTACAGGTAGATAATATTTTGTACACCTGTCTGTGTTACAGGTAGATAATATTTTGTACACCTGACTGTTACAGGTAGATATGACTTTGTACACTTGTCACTGTTACAGGTAGATAATATTTGGTACACCTGTCTGTGTTATAGATAGATATTATTTGGTACACCTGTCTCTGTTACAGGTAGATAATATTTTGTACACCTGTCTCTGTTACAGGTACACATCATTCTGTACTCCAGTATGTTACAGGTAGATATGATTTTGTACACCTGTCTCTGTTACAGGTAGATATGATTTTGTACACCTGTCTCTGTTACAGGTAGACATCATTCTGTACTCCAGTATGTTACAGGTAGATATCATTTTGTACACCTGTCTCTATTACTGGTAGATATCTTTTTAATTGATATAATTTAACAGTTTATCTAGATATTTTGGTTATATAATTGGTATAAATAACTTCTTCTCGGGAAGAACACATTGGATATCACATATAATGGACTGCAGTATCCCTAGAGGATGGGGATTCAAAACTACTGATAATGGGGGATGACCCTCCAGGGGTTCAAGGGCAGGGCAAGAATGGTTATATTAATATGCACCATAACTTTTTCCCTTTTAACTACACACTTATTGTCACATTTGGTTGGTAGCATTCTGGCAAGGTGGAAATTCAATATTGTAAAAAGGCTGGATTTGACTCTCTAGGGGACTGGGGAGTAGCATTTTAAGACTATATTTCTATAAGCAAATATGGCCAAAGTTTAGGAATTTTATATAAATGTTCCACAATTTCTTTTTTCGAAATGTTTCATATTTGATGAAAATCAACAGTTGGTGTCAGCCCTCACTTTGCAGTACAGTACTTTGAATTTGAATTTCAAAGCACAGATTTTGTTTGGTGCGCTTCATGATCAACACACAAGTTGAAATGGACAAGGAAAAGCAAGAAAACTTCAAATTTACAAAATTTTTCCCATTTTTGAAAAGTGAATACTGTATTCGATCCAATAAGCGCCCAGGGCACTCAAAAAATTGCAATAAGGGGGGCGCTTATTAGAGACCATAGTAGATGTAAAAGAAACACATTCAGTACTAAAATACTTAAAAATCTACTGTACGGTTCATGTATTTATAAAATCACTAGTTTTTTTACATGCAATAAAACCATCTTAGATTTAAAAAGTTTTTTTTATGTTTTTCTGGAGTACATCTCCTTAGTAACCGACTTAAAACAATTCTTGATCATGACTAAAAGGCAAATAAATCTAGACTTTTAGGTATCTGAAGGGGGAGGGAGCGCTTATATGGACATGGGTGCTTATTGGGTCGAATACGGTAAATATATTCACAGTAATGTCAACTTTTTAGTTGGGATAAAAACACACCTAGAATTGATTTAAATTTAGTCAGAAGCATCATGGAGGGTAGGGAAACCAAGTTTGTACTGATAGAGGGTCTGGGCCCACCAGGCCTTAGGGTCAGGTTTGTGACAAAGTTGGGGATGTGGCCCAATAAGAGAAATGGAGGAAAAGCTTTATGGGAAGAGAAACCAATTTTGTATACAAGTGGTTGGTCTGACCCCCTTGGGCCCTAAGTTGAAACACTAAGCAAAATCTTTAATACCCCTTGTGTTGGCTGAAGTTATATGGACCAAATTTGATCAAAAGCACTATTTTGGGGAAAGTATGCCAATGTTGGATAAATTAATAGCCTAAAGCCAGATGTATGGTCCATTACTACAGCCAGGATATATAGGAAATTGCTGAATCCTAGAAATTTGTCAAAATGTGATCTGAAGCATCCTTGGTTGCAGTGGACATATATAAATTGCTTTGAAGCACACACTTTGGATCTGGACCCCTGAAGGCAAAGGAGTGAGGCCCAATGAAGACATAGATTATCCTTAAATTAAAATTGACAAAACCAGGTGTACCAGGCCCTAAATCTTACACCAGCAGTGACCATCTTCCAATACAGTAAAGCCTTATGAGGTATTCAGCTACAACAGCTCCAGTACAGCCAGGATCCAGCTGTAAAATGTCATTCTTAGAGATGTCAATACTTAAAGTTATCAACAAAAACACTATACACTCACCAGTTTTGGTCATATTAGTGATACTGTGTCACCATGTTGGTAAGTTTTGGAAAAAAAATCCAAAATAATTACACACAAATGATTTTTGAGGATTTTTCAACAATTCATTCACAATATTTGATACTCAACATAAAAAATTTGAACATCTTTGTCAGGCCGGGAATTGTTCAATTAATCTTACTTGCTTACTTTGTACAAATGTACCTCACTGCAACCTGCAGTCACAATCAGATGTGGTAGAGCCATGTGAGATCAGCTCTTCCCAGGATCCAGCTGCAAAATATTATTCTGACAAACGCTAATTCCCCACCTACCCCTAAACCCCTTCTTGCCTCTTTGCTTTCATCGATGATTTCCTGACAAATAAATACATTTCCTCTGCATAATGCAACGTAGAGAAATTGTCCAATAAAAAACAAACACCAAGCCCACCCCATTAACTCCCTGGCCTCCTGGAACCATTCATTCAATTCAGATGATACATGTAATACCCAGTAGTTAATTTCACCTATCCTCAGATTCAGATTTCAGTCAAATAAAATTTCTCTTTCATTCAGTTGATGTTATCATTGAAAGGATTGAAACTAATTGAACAGGTATATACCACTTTGACATAGACAGGGATGCACAAATTGGAAATCCAAATGACAATTGAGCCTGTATTCCATATTGCTTCATGTGCTCAAACTTATTTAGATTAAAAAAAAAAGCAACTGATGGATGTTGTCTCTTTAACAAGAGGCCCTGGACCTAACCAGTCCTGTGACTAATATAAACAATGTACAATGGTAATAAAACTGCAAAGGGCCATAACTCTGTAACTTAATCAAATTGGTCCCACAACACCAAAGCTGCAGACTCTAGTTTTGTCAAAATATATTCATATTTTCAAGTTTTCACATGCACAAGGTCCATGAAAATGAAGTTGCAAGGTCATACCTCTGTAAATTATGACTTGATTAGTGACATTGCCAAACTCATACAAATATATCGTACAAATATTTAGACTGGAGAAAGCAAAGTGATTTATAGATATATATATTACAACTTTTAAGTCGCTCCAAGTTTCCTGCATTCTATTGTTTTTCAGTTTAGTCATTCCACTAAGTTAATGTTGCCCTTTTCATGCCTTAAATTTTGTATAGGTCATGATTACATATAGGTTCTTTGATTCATTAATTAATAAAAATAACATTGTAAAATTTACCATTCAAATTAGGTCCATTAGTTTTAGCAATCATATTGTGACATTTGCATACTAATCTTAGTGTGAAATTTGAAAATGTTAAATTTGAAAATTATACGATTTCTGAGTGTCACGTGACCTTATCAACAACCATTTTTTCGTAAAAAAACCCACTTAATTTTGCCTTTATAAACCTTCATTTAAAAGTTATTTTTAAAGACATGCCTATATCACGTGAACACTAATCGCCCTATATATATAGACTTCATTACCTTTGACCCTGCTTGTTAACGGTATTAAACAATCAACAATAACACCTTCAGAATTAAATACACCCATCAGCAACAAAGATAGAGTTTGCATCTTTCTGATCATAACAGATCTTGTATTGATTGATGGATGTCAAATTAATTAGTATTAGTTGTAATTGTTCACAGATACGATATACCCCGGGATGTGTACTGACACTACAGTATATAGAGAACTTTTCTTTAGCTCGATTGGTTGAGTGTCAGACTAGTTAGCCAGGGGTCCCGGGTTCGATTTCTAGCGGAGGCATTGAAATAAATAATGACCTCTGTTACATCTATATATAGATCTACTTTCTATCTGCCTTTATAACCATATGTGTATTCAACTGTCCGATAGTCTTCTGGAATTTAGATCAACTTTCATACCCCCCCCCTAATATCTGTATACAGAATACATGGTCAGTGTCTTAAAATATTTTTGACGAGGGTGAAGAAAGACAGAAGTGGAGAGCGCACCAACAAACATCCATGCCCAACCCTACACCCACCAGCATCCCTGTCGAATATAGAAAAAAAACCGTTATGCTATGTGATAGGTGTATTCTGACAATGGCAGCGCAGGTGTTGTCGTACATTGTAGTACTTTTCACAAAGACTTGCTTCTTTTCTTTTCAGTTGTGCAGTAAAAAATACTGGCGCGTTTGAATTTCCCGCGAGTTTATGTTAATATTTATCTCACCCTTGGAGAGTTACATCTGATTTTCGAGCAACCTTTGGATTTATGAGAATGGCAATACACAATTGCCAAGAGTATCCAAGAATAAACACAAATGTCACGTGATTAATCCGAGAGCGCAGCGAATTCACATGGCCGACAGTAGCACAAACAACGCGGTGTTGTCTGCTGTCGATATATATATATAGGTAAGATTGTAACGATATGGACTTACTTATAGAAGCTACTCTAAATTTTGTTGAAGAAATCAGGTAAATTATTTTTTCTATGTGTAACTAGATGAGCTTGTAACTGCAGATTCCGATGTTGGGACGCTGTTGCGCCTTATTTTTATCGATTTTTGGTGTGTGTGCGTCACCTATGTATGTTGCCGAGTATATGTGTAGGGCCAGTCTGATTCACTGAAAGGTTTTTAATTGAAGTGAATGACGCGAAATGTTATCGACATATGAGGAAAGCTAACGGTATGTTTACCGTGCGGTTGGTATCACAGGGTCACGGAACCATAACGAGTGTGTATTACCGTGGTCCGTGGTATTACAGCTGTGACACATGCAATGTAAACATTTGTCGGACACCGACATTTTGATAATTATGACATCGATCACGGCGATCAATATACATGCATTGCATTAAACAATGATACAGCCATGATCAATCCTCTTATATAGTAATACACATATATGTACACTAGGACTTTTCTGAGGTCACTTTATTCAGACTTTCCATTTATGGTGGTGAAGCCAGTTATTGATTTATGCTTGAACTGAAAAGTTATCTCTCTAATTCTGATTCACAAATGCCATTCAAGATAATGAATTTCTGACATCATTGTCGTACAGAGCAAATTCAGTTAGTCATGTACATGTATATAGATTTTTTTTTAGAGATATTTCCTTTAAAGTTGGTGCTGCATTGACAAAGTTGAATGCATATTATATACTCATAGAAATATTTCAAAAGTTAACGTTACTAAGGGACTTATAATACAGTGTTATACGTCCCTGCTAAATGTATGTGTGAATTGAGAAAGTAACAGAACATGAACACTACTGCTTTTGTTAATGAAGAATTATGATTTCCTTTCTAACAATCTGAAATTGGGAACCTCCTTGTAGTAAATTCAACTTCTAATGTAAACAGAACTGGCACTTATATGTGACACTAAGTGTATTGTTTAGCCTACCTGTAGTAAGAGATAGGAGACTATCAGTGAGGTGCTTGCTTGTGTTATCTTTTTTCTGATTCTGGTCATGCATCCTAATTTAATAGAATGTGCTTAAAATTTCAAAAGAGTGGAATCAGGTCAGTTTATGTTGGCCAAGAACAGACATTCCTTTTCAGTGTAATTGAATCATGAATATGGAAGACGCATGTCGTCCTAATTTGTAGAAAACTGATGAGATGACTAAAGACACTGCTGAACTCTGACAGTCATATCCAAGATATAATTGGTATTAGTACTTTTAATGTCTAATTGATCACAGTAAGAACACATGCTGTGTCTAAGTTTAACGACTAACCAAGCTGGTTAATTGGGAATTTGGTCCTTATAATTCAAATTCTCCTATATCTATGGTCTGTAATCTGTCCATCTGTCCATCTGTCTCTCTGTCCATCTACCCGTCCATTCGCCTGTCTGTCCATCCATCTATCTGTCCATCTACCTGTCTGTCAATCCGCCTGTCTGTCCATCCACCTGTCTGTTCATCTGTCTGTCTGTTCATCCATCTATTTGTTCATCCGCCTGCCTGTCCGTCTGTCCGTCTGCTGCCTGTCTGTCCGTCCGTCTATCTGTCCATCTACCTGTCTGTTCATCCACCTGTCTGTTCATCCGGTATTTCTATAGAAGCTCTAGATGGATCTTTCTCGAATTTCATATGTAGGTTCTCCTTGGTCTCTAGTTGTGGCGATTTGATTTTGGGACGCTTGTATTTTGCCTAGTAAAGTGTGTTATGGCTGCATGCTTCTATAAGTACTGGATGGATCTCTCTCAAATTTCATAGGTAGATTCCCATTTTTTTCCTGTAGGATCAAGTGTCATCAGTAACGATGTAACGTTCACTTTAGATTATGAATCTCATCTTCACTTCCCCACCCCTTACTCACTACCATTCCTTCCCCACCTTTCAATCACCCCTCACTCATCACCTTCCCTTCACTCATTACTATTCCCTACCCATCATTCATCACAATCCATTCTTCATCCCTTGCTATCATACCTTTCCTACCCCTCATTCTCCACCACCCTTTCTCATCCCTCACTCAACACCATCCCTTTGCCACCCCTCACTCACACCATCCCTTTGCCACCCCTCACTCAACACCATCCCTTCACAACCCCTCACTCAACACCATCCCTTCACAACCCCTCACTCAATACCATCCCTTTACCACCCCTCATTCAACACCATTCCTTCACAACCCCTCACTCAACATCATCCTTTCCTCACCCCTCACTCAACACCATCCCTTCCTCCCCAATCACTCAGCACCATCCCTGCACAACCCCTCACTCAACACCACACCTTCCTGACCCCTCACTCAACACCATCCCTTTGCCACCCCTCACTCACCACCATCCCTTCACAATCCCTCACTCAACACCACATCTTCCCGGCCCCTCACTCAACACCATCCCTTCCCGACCCCTCACTCAACACCATCCCTTCCCGACCCCTCACTCAACACCATCCCTTCCCAACCCCTCACTCAACACCATCTCTTCCCGACCCCTCACTCAACACCACACCTTCCCGACCCCTCACTCAACACCACACCTTCCCCATCTCTCACTCACTACTATTCTTTCTGTACTGATCACTCAAAACCATCCCTTCCTCATTTCTCACTCACCATTATTCTTTCTTTATCCCTCACCCACCAACATCCTTGCCAATCCCCTCACCCATCAACATCCTTGCCTGTCCCCTCACCCATCAACATCCTTGCCAATCCCCTCACCCACCAACATCCTTGCCAGTCCCCTCACCCACCAACGTCCTTGCCAGTCCCCTTATCCACCAACTCCTATGCCCTACCCCTCACCCCCGAACATCCATGGTCTATCGGTCAGACACCAACATCCATGGCCTATTGGTCAGACACCAACATCCATGCCCTACCTCTCACCTAGCAACATCTTTGCCGTTCTCCCTCACCAACTAACTTTCATTGCCTTACTTATTAATAACCAATTCACCCAGAGTTCCATTATTTTACCCATAAAGGAAAGATGTGATTTCTTCGCATGATATCCCCTCTTTTTTTGTTAGTGTTAGAGTAGGTAAATGATACAGCTAAGAATGATCCAGATTTACCTGTGTCACTATTTATTTGTTTACAATGTTTTAGGTGTAAGAATAGTTATGTAAATACATTATTCATGAACATTGTATTAGCTTTGTTAAATGTGCCTGTAGAATGCTGCAGTTGGATACATTACTTACTGGCTACATGTGTTTCATGTTTCATTCATAGATAACAGTGACAGGTTAGATGTTTAATTCTGAGGAAAAAAAGTCAAAAACTTCAGCTTATCTTCGTGAGGTCAGCTTTTGAGATCCCACTGAGCATTGTTGGCAGGGATGTTGAGAACAAGCCTGTTAATAGTGTTACGGTGTAGCACAGAGAAAATGTTGAATGGGAGACAGCTTAATTCAGGGGAAAATATCACTTGAAATTTCCATTCAGAAAAAAAAATTACTATAGAGGTGTATGTAAAATGTTATATGAAAGTTAGTAAGTGTCTGTAGAGATGTTCTATAAATATCTTAATATATGTCTTTAGAGGTGTTATAGAAATGTTTTGATAGATATCGGTGGAGGTATTATAGAAATATCTTAATAGATGTAGTAGAGGTCTTGTTAATACTTAACATATGTCTATAGAGTTGTTTTATTAATATCTTAAAATATGTCTGTAGAGATGTTCTATAAATATTTTGATAGATGTCTGTAGAGGTATTATAGAAATATTTTAATAGATATATGTGGAGGTATTATAGAAATATTTTAATAGATATATGTGGAGGTGTTATAGAAATATTTTAATAGATATATATGTGGAGGTATTATAGAAATATTTTAATAGATATATGTGGAGGTATTATAGAAATATTTTAATAGATATATGTGGAGGTATTATAGAAATATTTTAATAGATATATGTGGAGGTATTATAGAAATATTTTAATAGATATATGTGGAGGTATTATAGAACTATTTTAATAGATATCTGTGGAGGTGTTATAGAAATATTTTAATAGATATCTTTGGAGGTGTTATAGAAATTTTTAATAGATATCTGTGGAGGTATTATAGAAATATTTTGATAGATATCTGTGGAGGTATTATAGAAATATTTTGATAGATGCTGTAGAGTTGTTCTATACGTATTTTAACAGGTGTATGTGGAGATGTTATATAAACATGTAAATAGATACCTTTATGAGTGTGAGACACTTTGAAACTGTACTAAAATGTTGGACATGTTTGTAGCCACTGTTTTGCATTGTAGACTTCAGTATTGTGGAAGGAAGTTTATGGGATAGATGTGGCTAATGCTGTGGTAAGGTGGGGATATTTCAGGATAGCCATGGTATTTCATTCAGATGAGTACATATATGTATCTGTGATAAAAGGACTCATATCAGCCACAACTCCTACATCTTAAAAAGCCTTATCACCCAATACTGGTAGATTTTTGTCAGAATTTGCATCTTTCATAATTTACCTGTTTATTGAAAGCGTCTCTGATATATAAACGTAACTATAGCGACAACTCAGTGGTCTCACACAAATCCTCATTTCAACACATTGATTTAATTCATGAAAAAGAAAGAAATTTAATATGACACAAACACATGAAATGTGTTAGATTCTGCTCATTAATATGTCACCTGAGCCATAGTCTCATAGTGACCTATTACGATCACCTTTGTCCTGCGTCGTGTGTCTGTAAACTTCCAACAATTGCAATGTCAGCTGATTAGACTGAGATAGATTGAGATTTTATATAATGTCGACCCATTAGAACACACACTTGTAGCATCTATAGTCTGCAACAGTGATGATATGAAAGCAGGTTTATTTTACATCTTATAGATAATGGTATTGTACATGTGGTTTATTGTGACACAAAAAGCATGAAAACACTACTATGTTATGTATATAAGATAGTTGTAACAAAATTGACAAAATTTTTATTTGTGACCTGTCCAGGTATAAAACACATAACCATCACACACACCACCAAGACATCCCAAAAAAGGATGCCATGGTGGTGTTATTTGTACAATTTATTATCGTTATTGCTATGTGTTATGTTAGGTAATTAGACAATTTGCCATATTGATCAATTTGAGTACAATTAACTTCCAAACATCTTTTTTTGGGGATGTCATGGTGGTGTGATTGTTAGGTAGTTTAGAATTTCTTGGCTAGATGATTTGTTCCATAGATCATGAGTTCAAGGCTCAGACAGGGCAAGTGTCAAAATGACTTTTCCTTCATCGTTTGTTTTCATGTCCAAAACTGACATCGTGTCTATTCTGCCTTAAAACATACATTTTGATTAGTATATTTACCAATCCATCCATAGTCACCTACATCATTATAAACAAGACTTAACATTGTCTTTTTATGATGTTATTCGGTCAGAGCCTACCTTTTATTCTTTTTGCTCAGTAATTCACTACATGTATTACAGGTCTCACCTTCACGGAGTTTCATGATTTAACAACTAATGAGAGTTTAATCTATTTTTAGGTCATTCCATTAGAAGTCCTTCAATCTGTGTTGCTGATTCTTGTCTGTGATGAAGTAATGATTTTATAAGGTAAGAGCACCTCTTTCTTAGTTAGGCGCTCTGCTTCTAAACGCCGTATGGAAGAGCTTCACTCTCTGGAGTTGGCTCCTCTGGTGGCCCCTGTTCTTCCCACAGAGACTTTGGTCCCTATTGAAGAGGAGATGGAGCGTATTTATTTAATCTTTTGTTGTTGGGATACATGAAAAAACCTCAATTTCATAATAGAGCACTTTAATCATCATAATGAAGAAAAATGTTTTCTTTTTTCTAGATGACATGTGACAAGTATTCAAATCTGACAACAGGAAGGTGTATCATCGACAGAGACTAGGTTGTTGGACCAATCAGAATGCCTGTAAGTTATATCTGCCAAACATCTGATCACTATAACTGACCATTCATTTGTCACAATCATCAGTCAATCACGTTTGTATATATACACTATCACTATTAGCGTTGTTAGTATGTCAAAGTATGTTTAAATATTTTGAATAATAAGTTAAATATGCTAGTGAATCAGCTAAATTTGTCAGTTGGATGTTAGAGACCAGATCTTGTCATTTCTTGCTGCGATTCCTTTGGGGATATAGCAACAACTTAGGGTCAGTAACCGCAGGTCTGTTTTATTACCAAAAAGAGACGTTAAAACAATACTGCTTTTATTTAAATACAGCAATATGCTGGAATAGTAAAACATGGTTATAATGAATCCGAAAGGAAACCACGTAAATACTGTTGTTTACATACCTATATAACATGTAATATCAGCGTGTGATAAATCCAGTGCTAGTTCGTGCATATATTTGAGAAGTTCATAATTTTCTACATTTCCCTGATCAATTTTACTGTTTGTTATGATCACTAGAAGATCTTTCTTCATGTGATAAGCATTGATCTGTCCATATACATCCAATGATATATTCTCACTGTTGATATCTGCTGTGAAAACTGATCACTAATCAGACTACATCATTTCCTCAAACTTTTACATTTGGGCTTGTATCATGTATTGGATGTTAGTAAACTCTCATGTTAATGTATCTGGGATATTTACTTTATCATTTCCTCAAACCTTTACATTTGAGCTTGTATCATGTATTGGACGTTAGTAAACTCTGATGTTAATGTATCTGGGATACTGACCACATTTCCTCAAACCTTTACATTTGATTGTATCATGTATTGGATGTTAGTAAACTCTCAATTATCACTGTCCATTTTAGGCTGTTAATTTCCTCAAACCTTTACATTTGAGCTTGTATCATGTATTGGATGTTAGTATATAATGGTCTCTGTTTATGTAGGAATATTATACTGGTATCATTTATAAACCTTTACATTTGAGCTTGTATCATGTATTGGACATTAGTAAACTCTGATGTTAATGTATCTGGGATATTTACTTTATCATTTCCTCAAACCTTTACATTTGAGCTTGTATCATGTAGAGAACCCCTGACTATATACTGGTCCCTCTGTAGGGGTGTAGAGAACCCCTGACTATATACTGGTCCTCTGTAGGAGTGTAGAGAACCCCTGACTATATACTGGTCCTCTGTAGGGGTGTAGAGAACCCCTGACTATATACTGGTCTGTAGGGGTGTAGAGAACCCCTGACTATATACTGGTTGTAGGGGTGTAGAGAACCCCTGACTATATACTGGTTCCTCTGTAGGGGTGTAGAGAACCCCTGACTATATACTGGTTGTAGGGGTGTAGAGAACCCCTAACTATATACTGGTTCCTCTGTAGGAGTATAGAGAACCCATGACTATATACTGGTCCTCTGTAGGGGTGTAGAGAACCCCTGACTATAAACTGGTCTGTAGGGGTGTAGAGAACCCCTGACTATATACTGGTCCTCTGTAGGGGTGTAGAGAACCCCTGACTATATACTGGTCTGTAGGGGTGTAGAGAACCCCTGACTATATACTTGTTGTAGGGGTGTAGAGAACCCCTGACTATATACTGGTTCCTCTGTAGGGGTGTAGAGAACCCCTGACTATATACTGGTTCCTCTGTAGGGGTGTAGAGAATCCCTGACTATATACTGGTCCTCTGTAGGGGTGTAGAAAACCCCTGACTATATACTGGTTCCTCTGTAGGGGTGTAGAGAACCCCTGACTATATACTGGTCCCTCTGTAGGAGTGTAGAGAACCCCTGACTATATACTGGTCCTCTGTAGGGGTGTAGAGAACCCCTGACTATATACTGGTCTGTGGGGGTGTATATAACCCCTGACTATATACTGGTTCCTCTGTAGAGGTGTAGAGAATCCCTGACTATATACTGGTCCTCTGTAGGGGTGTAGAAAACCCCTGACTATATACTGGTTCCTCTGTAGGGGTGTAGAGAACCCCTGACTATATACTGGTCCCTCTGTAGGAGTGTAGAGAACCCATGACTATATACTGGTCCTCTGTAGGAGTGTAGAGAACCCCTGACTATATACTGGTCTGTAGGAGTGTAGAGAACCCCTGACTATATACTGGTCCTCTGTAGGAGTGTAGAGAACCCCTGACTATATACTGGTCTGTAGGAGTGTAGAGAACCCCTGACTATATACTGGTCCTCTGTAGGAGTGTAGAGAACCCCTGACTATATACTGGTCTGTAGGAGTGTAGAGAACCCCTGACTATATACTGGTCCTCTGTAGGAGTGTAGAGAACCCCTGACTATATACTGGTCCTCTGTAGGAGTGTAGAGAACCCCTGACTATATACTGGTCTGTAGGAGTGTAGAGAACCCCTGACTATATACTGGTCCTCTGTAGGAGTGTAGAGAACCCCTGACTATATACTGGTCTGTAGGAGTGTAGAGAACCCCTGACTATATACTGGTCCTCTGTAGGAGTGTAGAGAACCCCTGACTATATACTGGTCTGTAGGAGTGTAGAGAACCCCTGACTATATACTGGTCCTCTGTAGGAGTGTAGAGAACCCCTGACTATATACTGGTCTGTAGGAGTGTAGAGAACCCCTGACTATATACTGGTCCTCTGTAGGAGTGTAGAGAACCCCTGACTATATAACAGATTTCCCCTGCTCTCCTATGCTTGACAACGATGGGTAATAGAGGTGGTGTTGTCCCTATTGATAACTGTGATGTAATGATTGGCCTCTATTCAGCTGCTACTTCCTTTTTGTACATTGAAAAGCTATGATGTTGTTATTTCTGTACAAGGATTCAGCGAATGATGATTGTGATGTAGAAACTTTCTAAGCAAGTAGGAAATTTTAATTTAGTTTTGTTAATAAGAGAGGTCTCTTTTAGTAATAGTTAGTTGTTCTATTTCTCATCTTCTAGCTCATTGCTCTTTTAGTGTGAATCATGTCTGAGAGATGATGATTTTAATTTGTTTCGTTTTGAACTATGATATGAAAATCTGTCAGGGGTGAAAGTCTGCATAGATGATACTATTTTAATTCATTGAAGTATCACCAAATTTTTGTTTATCATCCTAGCTATACTAGTACAATTTGGAAGAGATCAGAACTGAAACCTTTACAAATTACTGGTCATAATAATATACTTATACAGAATTAGAAGTGAAGGTAAAGTTCAGCAGCTGTTAACAATGTATACAATAGCCAATGAGGCGTGTCTACAGCTGCTGTTTAGTAGCACCTGTGATACCTGTCTCCCCAGTTATCCGTTTGGACTGATCGGGTTAATGTTGCACTATACAAACTAGAAAATAAACACTGATTCACAGGGGGCACATATATCAGTCCAGCTGTTTTACTGGTCAACATAATATGTGAGCCATTAGACACGGATGATTTGATGGCAGCAATGTCGGAGCAGGTTGAAGAAGCACTTATCAGGACCATGTTATATGGATATGTCAAATACTCTGGTTTCAAGTAATAAAGTGACTAAAAGTCAACACTAACATAAACAAGACAACACTGGAGTTGGTGTCACTACATTAACAGACAACACTAGAGTTGGTATCACTACATTAACAGACAACACTAGAGTTGGTATAACTACATTAACAGACAACACTAGAGTTGGTATCACTACATTAACAGACAACACTAGAGTTGGTATCACTACATTAACAGACAACACTAGAGTTGGTATCACTACATTAACAGACAACACTAGAGTTGGTATCATTACATAAACATACAACACTGGAGTTGGCATCACTACATTAACAGACAACACTAGAGTTGACATCACTACATTAACAGACAACACTAGAGTTGGTATCACTACATTAACAGACAACACTAGAGTTGGTATCACTACATTAACAGACAACACTAGAGTTGGTATCACTACATTAACAGACAACACTAGAGTTGACATCACTACATTAACAGACAACACTAGAGTTGGTATCACTACATTAACAGACAACACTAGAGTTGGTATCACTACATTAACAGACAACACTAGAGTTGGTATCACTACATTAACAGACAACACTAGAGTTGGCATCACTACATTAACAGGCAACACTAAAGTTGGTATAACTACATTAACAGACAACACTAGAGTCAAGGTAAATATCACCATTACAATTTACTGAAAAATCATTAATTATGCACATGAGAGCAGGAATATTGCCCACAATTTGTTTTTGTTTACAAAATATGAAAACTAAATGGTTTACATATGATTTTGACACATCAAGACTTTGCGTTTGGTAAAGAATTTTTTTTATTTGTTGACGTGTAAGTTTTTTTGCTGAGGAATTCTGAATGTTAACTTTGAGATTGAAATCTGACAAACTAGGAGTTATTCTTCTGTAATGGACACATAAAGTTAAGGATCATGAATAGTGATTTTTTCTGTCATTAAAATTAAGTAAGCTTTACACTCCTTGAAAACTGATTGATCACCAATGAATGCACAGTAATTTTTCGGTAATAATTTGCCCGAGCAACCTACAGCATGTAGGCCTGTAGCATGGTACGATGAAGGGCTACCAACTTTGTAAATATGAATGACATTGACCCACTTTCATGGTCACAGGTATAAAATGTGTTATAATGTTTAAATGACTTCTTCCCAATAACTAAAAGGCCCAGGATGATGATTTTGGGCCATCTTTCAAGGTCACAGGGGTCAAATGTATTGAAATGCTTAAACAACTTTTTTTTTCAGTAACTGAAATGCTAAATGTCTTGATAGTGGGTGTGTAGCCTGCTTTTTCAACAAGCCATATATCTGCAGTAATGGTAATTTTGTAGTGCATGATTCAAGAATGATTTCAAGTTCACAGAAAATCTCTTAATAAACCAATATTTTATTCTTTATGTAAAGTGTAAAATATTTGAGTAGTTTATTTAAGGCCTATTTTGCCTTTTTCATATATAGGTCTTTATAGTGAGAAGACC